AATAAATATTTTTAGTAGGGTATCACATGGTAGCGACTCACAACTATACTTTTCTACTTGTTCTTGTTTTCATCATTATGTTAGTCTTATCTTAAACTAGCAACAATCTCAGGGAACAAGTTTTTATAGCAGTTTATAATGCAATGATAAGAGTTCAATCGTAGATCACGATTTGTTTACTATATACACACATATGTATGTAAAAGATTTGTATTTTTACTAAAGCGTAATTCTTTACTCTATACCACAATTAATTCTCTAGAAACGAACATAAAAAACAGATGTGTAAAAACCCAAATATATCAGCAGTTGTTATTACTTTGAAAGAATAATTTACATCAATCATTCAGTTAGTTTCTTTACAATAGACAATACCAATAGAAATGCAGCGTAAAATCTATATAAATATACTCATAGTTTTTATAATATTTCTAATAACTAGCGAAAGTCATAAAATGTATTTTATTGAAAATGCTAAATTTTTGGACTGGGATGATGCAAATAAGGCTTGCAAAGCTAAGGGTATGGATTTATTAACTATAGAAAACAAAGAGGAACTGGACTATTTAAAACAATATATTAATGAAACCTATGGTAATTATTAAAGCAACTTCTGCTGCAAATTTTCGATAACATATTTATTTTTGTTTGTCATTCCAATACCAGGTCGCCTTTTTCCATATTGGCTGGGAGCCTACAGGACAAATGGTCAATTCTTTTGGACTGCAACTGGTGAAAAAATTAAAGAGTTTTTTTGGCATAAGGGACAACCCGACGATAAAAGCGGCCATGAGAATTGTATACATACATGGGAAGGATATTTTGACTGGAATGATAATGATTGCGAAAGGGAGTTACCATTTATATGTGATTTGAATGTTTGATAAAAACAAACTTATTAATTAAATGTTCAGGGTTTGATTAGTTAGAACTATTAGTCCGAATTCCTAAAAAATGTAATGTTTGTTCTTATTCGATTAACTCAAGAACTGCCTACTGCACTTAATGGTCAGCCCATTTTCCCAAAGTGTTCAGATGAATATTAAAGTTCTTCTTGCAAAATTTGAAGAATCTAATTCCATTAGGTTAGGGTGGGTTAGGTTAGGTTGATAGGATTATGTATACTACATCAAATCCGAAGAAATACAACGTTGTGCGCTCCTTTTCATAAAAAAAATGTTCCTAAGAATCTTCCAATCAGTGTTAGTCAGGAATGTTATTTCCGGAATAACATCACTTTCAAGATACTTGGATCTAACTACGACGAATGCCTGCCAGTGGTCCAGAGTTTCACTGTCATCTCCACATGTTCTACATTTGTCTGAATCCGCACGTCCATTTATGTATAGATGTGCTCCGTGTAACAACGGATTCCTATCTGGGATCAACGTTTCAAAGTTTCCGACATATTCTGTGTCTGGTATGCGATCAGGCACGTCCGATGATTGTGTATAACCTTTCAATGTGTCCAGTATACACTGATGACGTGTTCTATAACCGCTTTTGGCCTGTTCGCCTAAAGTAAATATGTTTCAATGGGTGGAATATGAGAACGTTTCCAGAGCTGCCAAGCAGCATGTACGCCGAACTCCCTGTAGTAGTTTGATATTACACTTTTTGTCCAAAGCAGTCCACCAGATTATTGAAGCATAAGCTAGAATTGGTCTAATTACACTTTTATAAAGCCAGTTTGTCATAGTAGGAGTAAGACCTCATTTCATGCCTATAGCTCTCCTACATATCGCCCAGCACCGATGTGCCTTTTTGATCGTATCCTCTATGTGGTGTCTCCATATTAATTTCTGGTCCAGGATTACACCTAAGTACTTAACTTTATCTGTCACTGGTATCTTCTTGCCAGGAAGCAAGGTTCAGTATACGTAGAAATTTTTGTCTTTCTTGTGAAAAGACAGATTTCCGTTTTTGCCGGGTTAACATTGAGCCCTCTCGGTTGAGCCTAGCTCAAGCCCGTATTCAGAGCCTCCTTAGCTCTTCTACACAAGTAATTTGGATCCTTTCTCTTTAAAAGTATTACGACATCGTCTGCATAGCAGACAGGTCTAAGTCCCTTCTCGGTTAGGGTCCTTAGGAGGCTATTAATCGTGGTAACCCAGAGTAAAGGTGACATAGCGCGAAATACCTTTTTCCTGATAGTTATATCGTACATCTGGCAGCTTATCCATCTGTTCCTTAGCATGTAGTTGATTATGGAGCACCCGGTCTAGGGATTGGATAAGAGTATCAGTGGACACGTTATTGAAGGCGCCTTTGATGTCAATGCATACCGCCGGGAAAATGCCATTCGCCCCTGCAGCTTTATAGGGAGCGAAGCTCTTGATTGCATCTTTAACCATATCAGATGTAATTACAATTCCCATGTTAGCCTTCCCCTTTCCTCCAATATCGGTTCAATATAGCACTTTAACTTGTTTATTTCTTTTTTGTTTCTTTGACGCATAGGAATTTTTTTTCGAAAATTTGACCAGAATAGGTAAAAAGATGGGGGATAGCGCGAAAATTATACAAAATTTAGTACTTTTGTGTTTTAATACTTATTTATGTTTTCTCTAAAGCGAAAATATTTTTGATTTAGCTTTTTAAAGTCTCAAAGTGTACTGGCAAAGTGATGTTGCTAAAGTTAAACCAGAAGGTGACGCAAAAGAGGTAAGCTCCCCCCTATAGAAGGTAAAAAGCCATGCACATATGTATATATATATAGTATATGATTCAGAATCAACTACTTGAGTGACTAATACGATATTTGTATTATGTGGTTTGTGTTAAAGTTATTGCTTTAAATAAAATCTATTACAGTTTAAATCATTCCATTAGTTTCTTTTCAACCAAAAACACGTACAGCAATGAAAATCTCTGTAATATTTTTATTAATTTTCAATCATATTCTAATATCTGTAGCAGGTCATGGAATTTATTATATTGAAAATAAAAAATTTTACCTGGTATGATACAGATCGACCGTTTCCTTATTGATTGGGAGATGTTACGATAAATGTAGACGAATATGATGACATAACAACTGGAAATCCCTTTCATGAATTTGAACAAGACTGGAATAGCAATTATTACATAACTACAACAAAAGTAGTGTTTAAGGAATGTCATTATACATACTACGGAAGCCTAGTTTTAAGTGATCATGATTGCCAATGGAAATTGCCTTTTATATGTCAATTAAGAGTTTAATAAAAAAAAGATAAAACTAGGTAAGAATTTGTTAAGAGGAACCTTATATGCGTGTAAGGTCAATTATGGACCGATTACAATAAAATTTGGCAGAGAGATTTAAGTTACTTTACTATAATTTTGAATCAAGTTATGAGCTTTAAAGTAATTTTCTGAGAGGGACCTTATATGTGGAATATCATTAGTATACTCATGTCTTCAAACCAGTTATGCTAGTTTTTCGATGTGTTACAAACGGAATAATAAAAGCCTAAATTTGTTTATAACCACCATCAAAAAAGATGGGGGTATATTGTTTTTGTGATTCCGTTTGTAACACATCGAAATATTCATCTTAGACTAAGACGATCTAGCCATGCTCATCTGTTAAAAATACGATAGAGTTTACAGATATTTTATATTGATGCAGTTTGTTTGGTATTGAAAATAGGCAATATCGGTCCACGATTTCGTCTAGCCCCCATATAAGGTTCCCTTCCCAAAATGACTATAACGCTAATAACTGTCTAAAAGAAGCATCTATAGCGATGAAATTCGACATGAACATATTTTATAGGAACCAAAATCGCTTTGTAAAATTTTATACATATTCGTCCATAATTGACCCTACCCCCCATATAAGGTCCCGTTCGGAAAATGACTTCGACATGAACATATTTTATAGGTAGACTAATATGTTTGTTACATTTGGTATGGATCGGTCCATAACTGACCCTACCTCTCATATAAGGTCCCCTTCAGAAAATTACTTTAACGCTCATTACAGACTTAAAAATAGCGATGAAATTCTGCATGAATAAGTTTTGTGCAACCAAAATTTCTCTATCAAACTCTACTAGAATCGGTCGGTAATTGACCCGAGTACAGCTATGATATTCGACATAAACAAGTTTCGTTAAGAGGATCACGCCATAACTGATCTGAACTGAATCCGGAAGAGACTCATTAAAGGCCCGCTTCCAAATATTATCTTAATGTTCATATTAATATCGATATATGCATGAAGGTAAAATTCTACATACATATATGTAATAAATGTGTTAAGATGTGTAAAATGCACTAATTTCCTATGGAAGTTGTAAATGTAGCTAAACAAAGACGATTCCTGTTACTGTTAGTTAGTTAGTTAGTTAGTTAGTTAGTTAGTTAGTTAGTTAGCTAGTTAGTTAGTTAGTTAGTTAGTTAGTTAGTTAGTTAGTTAGTTAGTTAGTTAGTTAGTTAGTTAGTTAGTAGTTAGTTAGTTAGTTAGTTAGTTAGGTAGTTCGTTAGTTAGTTAGTTAGTTAGTAGTTAGTTAGTTAGTTAGTAGTTAGTAGTTAGTTAGTTAGTTAGTTAGTTAGTTAGTTAGTTAGTTAGTTAGTTAGTTAGTTAGTTAGTTAGTTAGTTAGTTAGTTAGTTAGTTAGTTAGTTAGTTAGTTAGTTAGTAGTTAGTTGTTAGTTAGTTAGTTAGTTAGTTAGTTAGTTAGTTAGTTAGTTAGTTAGGTTAGTTGTTAGTTTAGTTAGTTAGTTAGTTAGTTAGTTAGTTAGTTAGTTAGTTAGTTAGTTAGTTAGTTAGTTAGTTAGTTAGTTAGTTAGTAGTTAGTTAGTTAGTTAGTTAGTTAGTAAGTTAGTTAGTTAGTAGTTAGTTAGTTAGTTAGTTAGTTAGTTAGTTAGTTAGTTTAGTTAGTTAGTAGTAGTTAGTAGTTAGTTAGTTAGTTAGTTAGTTAGTAGTTAGTTAGTTAGTTAGTTAGTTAGTTAGTTAGTTAGTTAGTTAGTTAGTTAGTTAGTTAGTTAGTTAGTTAGTTAGTTAGTTAGTTAGTTAGTTAGTTAGTTAGTTAGTTAGTTAGTTAGTTAGTTAGTTAGTTAGTTAGTTAGTTAGTAGTAGTTAGTTAGTTAGTTAGTTAGTTAGTTAGTTAGTTAGTTAGTTAGTTAGTTAGTTAGTAGTTAGTTAGTTAGTTAGTTAGTTAGTTAGTTAGTTAGTTAGTTAGTTAGTTAGTTAGTTAGTTAGTTAGTTAGTTAGTTAGTTAGTTAGTAGTTAGTTAGTTAGTTAGTTAGTTAGTTAGTAGTTAGTTAGTTAGTTAGTAGTTAGTTAGTTAGTTAGTTAGTTAGTTAGTTAGTTAGTTAGTTAGTTAGTTAGTTAGTTAGTTAGTTAGTTAGTTAGTTAGTTAGTTAGTTAGTTAGTTAGTTAGTTAGTTAGTTAGTTAGTTAGTTAGTTAGTTAGTTAGTTAGTTAGTTAGTTAGTTAGTTAGTTAGTTAGTTAGTTAGTTAGTTAGTAGTTAGTTAGTTAGTTAGTTAGTTAGTTAGTTAGTTAGTTAGTTAGTAGTAGTTAGTTAGTTAGTTAGTAGTAGTTAGTTAGTTAGTTAGTAGTTAGTTAGTTAGTTAGTAGTAGTTAGTTAGTTAGTTAGTTAGTTAGTTAGTTAGTTAGTTAGTTAGTTAGTTAGTTAGTTAGTTAGTTAGTAGTTAGTTAGTTAGTTAGTTAGTTAGTTAGTTAGTTAGTAGTTAGTTAGTTAGTTAGTTAGTTAGTTAGTTAGTAGTTAGTTAGTTAGTTAGTTAGTTAGTTAGTTAGTTAGTTAGTTAGTTAGTTAGTTAGTTAGTTAGTTAGTTAGTTAGTTAGTTAGTTAGTTAGTAGTTAGTTAGTTAGTTAGTTAGTTAGTTAGTTAGTTAGTTAGTTAGTTAGTAGTTAGTTAGTTAGTTAGTAGTTAGTTAGTTAGTTAGTTAGTAGTTAGCCATTATAAGAGTATTTAGAAGTAATGCAGATGGTATATATACTTAATGGAAA